ATGGGGAAAAAATAAGAACCAAGATACATCATGTAAAGGTACAAGATCCCAATGATGAATGTAACTGTATTTTATACCTAAAATGCACCAATAAACTTAATGGGGAAAAAAATTGGGGCATCTGGTTCCTCTTAAAAATCCCAGAAGATGGGCCGGGGATTTAGCTCAGTGGCACTGCACCTGCCTTGCAAGTACAAGATCCTGATTTTGATCCCCAGTACTAGAAAAAAAAAAAAAAAGAAAGAAAAAACCCAGAAGATTAAACAATTCTGGGTTCCCATGCCCATGTGGCAAAAGATAAAGATAGACTATATTTATAGGTCTAGTCAGGTTATCTATTTTGAGTGAGTTTTGGTAGTTGTTTTTGAATAATTAGCCCATTTCACTTAAGTTGTTAAATTTACATGTGTAGTTTTTTGTGATAGTCCTTTGATGTTTGTGAGTTCTGTGTGCTCCTCTTTCTTACAGTACAATCAAGAGGAAAATGGAATACTTTTGATGTCCATGAAAGAGAGAACAAAATACCTGAAATTCAAAAGAAGTGGAAAGTGTTCTATATCTTGATTATGACAGTAGTTACATTGTATGCATTCATGTTAAAACTCATGAAATGGTACATTTATAAAAAAAAGGTTTATTTTACTGTAAGAAAATAAAAATTTCAAAAAACAGTCCCAAATGTAACAGTAAATAGCAGTTTTCACTGCCTTACATTGGGGTGTGCTATGACTTTGTGACTGAAGTACATATCCTGACTAAGAAGTGGGAGAAAGCATCCTTTTTTTGGTGGAAGAGACTAGTCCTAATGGTTAAATATACAAAGTATGATTGTGTCAAAAGATACCATTATGAACCAAACTATCATAAGAACTATGATCAGTATGTGGAAAAGATTTGTGATGAAAATGGAATAAAAAGAAAGGTACTGTCACTATAGTTACTTTCTCATTCCAGGAGCAAAATACCCAACACTAACAAGTTAGAGGAAAGGATTATTTTAGCTTACAGTTTGTAGAGGTTTCAGTCCAGTTGAGTGGCTTCAAGGCAGGGCAGCATGGCAGAGGAGAAATAGTTCATGGTGTGCAGGCAAGAGGCAGGAAGCAGCCAGCCCTCCTCTTTCCCTTTTTATTCCATTCAGGCTACAAGCTTATTGGTGCCACCCACACTCAGAACCATGCTAACTCAATCAGTGAACTAATCCAGTTAACACACACTCATAATCCAGCCACCTCTCAAAAACCACACCTATGAGCCCATGAAGCTTTGAGGGGGTCATCTAGATATAAACCATAACAGGTACTGAAATGTAAACAAGACTTAACACATTACAATGGGGCCATAATGCTGAAGGTCAGCTCTGATTTGAATTTGATCATTCCTCCCAACTTGAACCACTGGTGGTACACACGACAGTCCCATTGGGCAGCTTGTACTGCTTCACAGGGAGACTTTGATTACATTAATTTAAAGGCATTGATTTACAGACCAGATGTCATCATATTATGGTTTCTTAAGGCAAACATTAAAATAGTATAAAAAATTGTAATATAGCTAATTTGTGGTACAGCAGTTATAAATGCATATTATATACATCAGCAATGTGGTACTTGTAAGATTTCTATGTCAAAATTTAGAGAATTATTGATAAACTATTCATGAATATAAATTTCTTTTAATTTAATGAAATAATTTTTTAATTATTGTAATAATTTTTAAAAATTCATATGAGTAGTAGTATTTTTA